AATAAGCAACCCCCTTTTTTGGTAATAATTTTAAAAAATTAATTTTATTTTATTCATTTTCTAATTCGTCAGCTGAGATATTATTTTGATCAACTACCTCAGTTAAGTCATCATTTTGATCTAATTGACTAATTTCTGTATCAGAATTATATAACAAGTCATCTTCACTTCCATCTAATGAATTAGAAATACCACATTTTTTAAATGATTTAAAAATCATTTCTGTTGAAATATCCTTCCATACCTCTAAAATCCACTGGCAAATTAAATGGTATCCTGGTCTTTTTAAATTCCCACCTTTTGTTAATTGAAACTCTCCTCTACTCATCCATAAACGCCATTTTTCCCGTAACTTATCTTTGAATGGTTTGTTAATACATACATCTAAAGGCTGAACAATAGATGTCAAACCACCTGGAATGATTGCAATATGTGTATTACTGGCATTACATTTTTGACGAACTGAATCAGTCTTATGCCCTTCAAATGAATCCATAATAAGAAATGAGAGAGGTTTATTTGTCATTGAGGTTCCGATTCGCTTGTTCCAAATATTATCTATCCATTCACACATTAAATTTTCGTCCATCCAAGCCTTTTCATGCATACGAACTATAATACCTTTAGGAAGATTGGAAGGTATCCGTACACCCTTAAAAATAACCATAGGTGGCAGTTTACCACCATCAGCAGTAATAGCTAGCACACAGGTAAATCGGTTTTTGTCATTACCGGTGGTTCGAATTTGGACTGTTTTGACACCTTTTTCATTGATTGTAGTAGAACCAGCCATATCAAAATAAACTGGAGTTTCGTCCATATTGACAATTTGGGAAAGGTCATACTGATATTTTTGACGGGATTGGATGACAAATCTTTGAAATTCCATAGTTTTTGTATTGAGATCGGTGGGTAATTGCTGGCTAATCTTAGTACGACGTCGAAGGGAAAGATTGTGTCTTTTTAAAAACCGATAAAACCAAGATTTGGAAGCACGAAATTTATCAGAGGCACCCGGATAAGTATTTGCACAAGTTGTTGCAAGAATAGTAGTCATTTGTAGTTTGATAGCCCCAGCTGTTACAGCAATTCCGACCAGATGAAGTTCTTTTATCCATGTAACAAGTTCTTCTTCAGCAGCAGGATACGCTGAGAATCTCCCAGCACCAACACGTCTGTTTTTTGGTGTGGCATTAGCAAGCTTTTTTTCATTAGACATCTACCGCGATACCATTGACCGATCAATACCAAAACGACGTTCTGCAGCTAAGATGCCAATTTTTTTGGCTTCATGAATAATGGCAAGTTTTTCGGAAGCCGTATATGATGCTCTTTGTAATCGTTTTTTAATTTTGAATGATTTATT